TGTTACTGTACAATGTTCATCCAATGGCCGTAGTGCTTTTTCAACCTCTGGTCTTCTTACTCCAGCTGCCCAAACCAGCGCCAGTCATGCCGCGTGCTCCTGCCTCCCATGGCCGGCTGTGATGTCGCGGAGGCCTCACCGCCCCCTACTACTCCCACCGCTGGCCAGGCCATCCCTCTACTCACCCACACCCCCTGTTATTCTGCGGCGACACCAGCCTCACACTGCAGCCGAACCAGTGAACCCTCGTACTCCTCTTTGCGTGGGCATCCACTGCTGCGTCTTCCCCGGCTCCGAGTCGTCCCCTTCCTAGTCCTCGCCGTTGTCCAGCGCCGTGGTGCTCTCGGCGTGGCATGGTCAACGTGGTTAAGGAACGACTTCCATCGGACGTGGACTATACGTGGAGAGGCTGACAGCTGGGTCCACGGCCGCAGCAAGGAAGTGCCTCCTTATTACGCGCAAAATAATGATTCCTCCACCTGACAGCGGGGACCCACCGGACGGGCCACCTTATTTCGCGAAAAAAGTTCCCCCCTGACTGCTGGGACCCACCAGCTACATCTTCGCACGCAAGGAAGTGCGTCTGGGCAAAAAAAATGATTCGCCCCCCGACTGCTTGGACCCACCAGCTACATTTTCGCACGCAAGGAAGTGTGTCCGGGCAAAAAAACCAATTCGCCCCCCTGACTGCTAGGACCCACCAGCTACATCTTCGCACGTAAGGAAGTGCCTGGCAGTCGGGACCCACCTGGTCGAAGCGTACGTAGCCTTGTCATTCTGGTCGCGAACGTGTACGTACATATATACTGGTGGATGTAGAGGCGTGCATGTGTCGTAGTAGAGGCGCGTACATGTTGTAGTAGAGGCGCGCATGTAGCATGTACACATATGTACAACGACCAGGGTGCAAGAAAGAAAATACGACCACATATGTGTACATACGGGCGGGGTCTCGAACGCCTACTCGCGCATACGTACGGCCAGGGCTCGTGTACATGGCTGGGTCGAAACAGAGAAACAACGTCATCGTCGTGTTCATGGGGAGGCAACGGAATGCGTCGTGTTCATGGGGAGGCAACATAATGCGTCGTGTTCATGGGGAGGCAACGGAATGCGTCGTGTTCATCGGGAGGCAACAGAACGCGTGGGAGCCAACCGGCTGGGTCGGAGCGGAATGCGTGGTCGTGTTCATCGGGAGGGCTTGGACGGAACATGCGATGGAAACGAGGCCTGACGTACCGCAAAACGGAGGAAATGGACCTCCTACGTTTGGAACGAGGTCCTGTTGATCGGGAGGGGTGTGGCGTACCGCAAAATGGAGGAAACGGACCTCCTACGGTCGAAACGGGGGTCCTGTTGATCGGGAGGGGTGTGGCGTACCAGAAAACGAACGAAACGGACCTCCTACGGTCGAAACGGGGGTCCTGTTGATCGTGAGGGGTGTGGCGTACCGCAAAACGAACGAAACGGACCTCCTACGGTCGAAACGGGGGTCCTGTTCATCGGGAGGAGTGTGGCGTACCGCAAAACGGGACTCCACGGGATACTATTCATCTTCACCATCGACCTCCTCCAGCCTCCACGGGCTACCGTCGACCTCCTCCAGCCTCCACAGGCTCCTGTTCATCCAGCCTCCACCGCGCGCTACTCCACCGGCTACTATTCAACCACCCCTCCACGGGCACCCCTCCACCGTCTACTGTTCATCCAGCCCTCCACACCACGGGGGCCTGTTCAACCACCCCTACACGGGCACCCCTCCACCGTCTACTGTTCATCCAGCCCTCCACATCACGGGGTCCTGTTCATCCAGAGGCAACGCCACCGCTCACTGTTCATCCAACCCCCCCGCAACGCTCACTGTTCATCCAATCGATCGGCTTCAGTTAGCAGCAGTAGCGAAGGAATCGCTCGATCGGGTTCAGTTAACAGCCATCGATCGATCGCTCGAGTTCAGTAACGCATAGCCTGCAGTGCAATCACTCGGGTTCAGTTAGAGCCCAACGCCTCGCTTGGGTTCAGTTAGAGCCAACGCCTCGCACACACGCGCGTACGTGTACGAGAGAAACGCGCATCGCTCGGCCCCCGACCTCCCACCGTAACCGGGAACTCCCCGAAATTTTCCTCCCCCTCGCTTCTACCACGGTTTTTTCCGTCATGGACGGCCCAAAGAATGTCATGCAGCTGCGTCTCTGGCCCGCCCAGGACGAAAAGCCCATTTTCTGTCATGATTTTTTGTCATAGAAGTAGGAGCCCACCACATCTATGATGATACCGGGTTTTGTCACAATTATCGTCATAGAAGTGTCATATGTATGACACGTTTTTTTCGTTCGGCCCAAAATATCACGGATGTGTCTTTGTTTTTGTAGTGTAGGTTTTTGTGATGGTCCTGGATGCTTGTGGATATGTGGATATATATAGGAGGAATAAGTACGTCGGTGGATCAACGAGGGGCCCACGAGGATGGAGGGCGCGCCCCCTGCCTCGTGGCCTCCTCGATTGTTTCTTGTCGCCCACTCCAAGTCTCCTGAATGACATTTATTGAGAAAATCACGTTCCTGAAGGTTTCATTCCGTTTGGACTCAATTTGATACTCCTTTTCGGCGAAACTCTAAAATGGGCAAAAAAACAACAATTTGGGCTGGGCCTCCGGTTAGTAGGTCAGTCCCAAAAATGATATAAAAGTGTAAAATAAAGCCCATTAACATCCAAAATAGATAATATAATAGCATGGAGCAATCAAAAATTATAGATACGTTGGAGACGTATCATAGAGCGTATCGTATCACGAGGTTTGTATACACCGGCGAAGTTTGCACCAACTCTCAAGGTGAGAAAGGGCAATGCACGGTACCAAAGAGGCTAGCAATGATGGAAGGGTGAGAGTGCGTATAGTCCATGAAAAATACCAAGTATTACGCGCATGCTCCTAGGGGGATAGATTGGTAGGAAAAGACCATCGTTTGTCCCCGACCGCCACTCATAAGGAAGACAATCAAATAACACCTCATGTTTCAAATTTGTTACACAACGTTTAACATACATGCATGCTACGGGACTTGCAAACTTCAACACAAGTATTTCTCAAATTCACAACTACTCAACTAGCATAACTTTAATATCATTATCTTCATATCTTAAAACAATCATCAGGTATCAAACTTCTCTTAGTATTCAATGTACTTATATGAACGTTTTTTATAATATCAAAAGCAAATTACCATGCTGTTCTAAAGAACTCTCAAAATAATATAAGTGAAGCATGAGAGATCAATTATTTCTATAAAATGAAACCACCCCCGCTCTAAAAGATATAAATGAAGCACTAGAGCAAAATTATATAGCTTAAAAGATATAAATAAAGCACATAGAGTATTTAAACCTATAAGGATGCTAGCCGACTCCTTCTCCACAAAGATCCTTCGGATTGGGATGTTCCTGGCTGTCCGATCGCCTTGAATCTGGTCAATCGAGTAGCCAGGTCCATCTGATCTTTACTGTGATTTTCACCTTGCGATTTATTTTTGAGGTCCATGATTCATGGGCTCAGTGGCTCTTCCTATTGGCTGGGTTAAATTTCGCTGGGTGACCTTTGCCGGTGAGTCGCGTGCCGTCCCACGAGTCGTGCTGCCTCCCAGAGTCCCGGTTCACCCCTCCCACGCGCCGCACCCAATCCCCTCCTCCCGCACGCCTCGCACCTAATCGCCTCCATGAACCCTAGCCCCCAATGGATGGGACGCCACACCCTCACTCCTCCCCAGCAGCCTCCAAACCCCCCGCCTCCACCGGATCCAAGGCGTGCGGCCACGGAGGCGAGCCTCTCCGGCGACGGTGGCAACCTGCAGGCAGAGAAGATGGGAGAGAGGGAGAGAAGGAATGAGAGGAGGGAGGTCCGACGGCGGACAGGAGAGGGTCAGCGGCCTGTGCCGGCGAGGTCAGGTGTGACCTGGCAGACCTGGCAATTGATGGCGGCCACTCCTGGATCCTTCTTCCACTTCCCCACTGCCTACCACCAAGCACGGGTCAGGGAGCATGGGATTGACGACGGCGGTCGAAAGCCAGGATGGTTGGCTGAGGAAGAGGGTGAGGACTTGAGGATTGAAGAGGGTGTGTTCTTGGTTTCATCAGCGCACTAATTAGTCACTTATCTAATGATATTTTATCATATCTCTGTTGAGAACCTCAGGTTCCCACACTGAGCTATACTGTTTTGTCATGTTTTCTTCAGGTTGCTATGGAGACTGTTCTTTGCAAGGGTAAAGCATCATCAGCACTGGTGGTGGTTGGATCATTAGATGATTCCCAGTAACTAGGTATGTCTTCTTAACCAGGTGGACATTTCCCCAGATTGGCTCCTCCACATGTTTCAGACTGACAAATCATGACAATCCTCTTCTTAAAGTACAAAATGATGTAGCTATCTCCACATGCTTTGATGATATCTTTTTCGTATGGTTGGATGGTTCCTTATCACCGTGATTCATATAAAACTTTGTGAATTGTAGTGTCATGATGATTTCATAAGACACAAGGCTTTAATGTATATTTGGAAAGCACATAAATGTGAAGAATCAATGGTGAAAATAAGTAAAACACTCTCTATATGTTTCCATTGACATGATCAGTGGCTCCATTTTCTTTGGTAAGTAATGCTAGGCTACAGGTTAATATATTTTACCATGCCCAGCTGTTTTTCTCAGTTTCTCCTCTAAAACATAGACATCATTTTCATTCGGATTTCATCCTTATTAGTTTTATTTTATATGCATTGAATATAACTATGCAACTATAGGTACAAGCATTGCCATGACATACATCCCATTTTGAGTTTTATTCAGTCCTCTGTCATTGTTATTGCGATCTTATTTTGCCTTTGTAAAAATGGGGTATATGTCATGGTTGTTTAACAGAAGGGAGGTGCATAAGAACAGATTTGGTGTTCATCCGCAATGTGAGTGCTTTCTGCAACTCCATTTTGTCGATATTTTCTGCGAGACATGAACACCAAATCTATTTATCTAACATGTTTTGCATGTTTTGTCGAGTGCTTTCCTGTGTTTTTATCTATGGTCTTTTTTATCATATCTAATATCCAGCATTATACCATGTCTCACAGAATTGCTGATTCTGCACATACACCTACTTATTTTACTTCTGTGACATGCGGTACAATTTTTCTCTGGGTATGCTTCTCCATCCCTCCCAAAACCGGTCAAGGAACTGAGAGCTTGCACATGCCAATTTCTTATATTGTTTTCTCATGACCGTTTATAGTTGCTATAAATTCATGATTACCTTTGTGGTTGCTTGCTAGGTTGCAGGATAGGCGAGGCGATGATCCAAACAATTGGAAAGAATGGTGCTCCCATGTTCTCTCTTATCCAGGAAAATCAATACAGCAAAATGTGTGTTTAATAAACCTTGCATTGCTGCAAAAATTAATATTATGTTTGTGAATCTAATGCCATTGTGGATATCATGAAGAAGAGGGACATGTTTGTTGCATTTGAAGGTGTACTTATGAGTGCAAGGTCAGCAGTCGATGCACATTTCACTTGTTTTACTTGATCTGTGTATTGTCTTTGATAGTTGGGAGTAACGATGGTTTAGTCGTTGTGTACTTTGAATAATCTCTGTTACATTGCTCAGGAGCATAATCTATTAACCTATTTTAAGGATTGATATGATCTCTACTTTCTTGGGTACATTGCAGGGAGCCTCGAGGATTTGGGTTTGTCCAGTACTTCAATCCTGATGATGCTGCAGATGGAAAATACTACATGGACGGACAGGTTATTTGTGGCAAACAAGTAACAGTTTTATTTGCATAACAGAACAAAAAGAAGCCTGCTAAGGGGTGTCCCGCGGCAGATGCGCGCCCAATGACGCTGTGGAGCTGTCAACTCCCACCCAGATCGCCACAGAGAACAGTGAAGCATCCTCCCTTCTCCCTTCCGGTTGCATCTCCGCCGGGTGAGTTCCACATTTTGTTCAGTTCATCCTCTACACGAACCCTTTTTGGATACATCATTAGAGCTTGTTATGCAGTTCTCTATTTCTACAAATTTCATTGCTAATAAACTAGACACTAACCTCAAACAGTGACTTCTTGCAGGCTTGTCTTAGTGACACAGGCATGCTGAAGCAAAGATCCTTTTCCTTCTTTGCATCCCTCATTCTCTGTTTTTTCTCACAATGAAGCACCTTGCTTCTCCACGGCATTCAACCCATGATGGTGTGACTACAGGTATGCCCACGGCTATTGCTTCTAGCATGTTCCTTGTACGAGCAAACTTTTCAGCGACAAAGTGCGTAGTCTCTAAAATAGTTGTTGACACCGGTAATTAAAAGTGCATCAGTATCTATCAATGTAAAAAACTAAAAACCTTAGCAAAATAAAGTTATCTTGAGTTACTTGTGTATAGTATATGCAGACGAAATGAAACTACCTTTGTCTGATCTGTGATGGTTTCACCGTCCATGCTTTGGCTGAACAGAACACAGACTGAGGACATATTTCTGTCTCTTCGCCTTCTTGATTACATAACTGGGATACTCATTCCTAATAAGACTAGCAAGCTCTATGGAATCTGCTGATTTCCGAAGGCCTCTTTTCAGTGGCTTCGTTGATGTATGTGTCTTAGACTGGGGCTTTGTGCTACTTAGCTTTCAGTGGTACTCTATTCATCAAACAAGACTCATTGTCTTTCTGTTTAGATGTGGATTGTTTTTCTGTTCGGCACCATGTATTTTTTCAAGCTGATTGAAATCCAAAGTTTCTTTCTGAACTCCTTTGACATTGTTGCGAGTTGTTGTAGCTGATGCTATAAGATTATCTAAAGAAGACTTGTGTGTCCTTTTCATGCTTTTGATGGTATTAGGGTTAGAAATGCTTGTTGTTTTTGTTGTTGGTAACTCTGCTACTTATGTAGTTTTGGCTCTATCTCAATTGATCTGGTAGCTTTATTGAATCCAGATTTTGAGCCTCCTAAGGTAAATGTATATGTTCTCTTTTTTAAGGTGGATTACAACATCTTTACCTGATAAACATGGAATATACAAGAGGAAGGAGCAACTGCAGCAAGCAGTGATGCTTCAGGCGCTGATGTGAGGATTACTGCATTTGAGAGCAGAGGAAGACAAGCGTAAAACTATCATGTTCGCTTCCGCCATTCATGCCGAGCGGGATGCGTGGCAGAGGGGATTTCTTTTCCGCGAAAACCGGAAGAGAGGATATTGAAGCCATTGCCAACATAGATGAAGATGGGAGGATTGGCCAACTTTGGACTCCAACGGCAGCGATGATGATGAAGACTTGAGCTATGACTATGAGTCCGAGTAGTAGAAGAATCATTTATGTTTTTGTGCTTTGTCGACAGGGATTAGATTTGTTACAAATAGAACCCTATGCTACCAAATTTTAATGTGCATATACTTTTCATTGTAGACAGCAAGCCCCTGTTTTTCCAGGAGATTAAATTTGTTGTCATATGTGCTTGCCTGTAACTAAGCAACTAAACCATGGATTACTTTTCATCGCTAACATGGAATCAGCAGGTTTCTGCGCCATTTGGCGCAACGGGTTCACTAGTTCTAATAAATTTCGATTCATGTGTGTCTCTCAAAAGGTGTGTACAACAAGGATGATTGTGATAAACTAAAAAGTAAAGACTCAAATCATACAAGATGCTCCAAGCAAAACACATATCATGTGGTGAATAAAAATATAGCTCCAAGTAAAGTTACCGATGAACGAAGACAAAAGAGTGGATGCCTTACGGGGCATCCCCAAGCTTAGGCTTTTTGGTGTCCTTGGATTTTACCTTGGGGTGCCTTGGGCATCCCCAAGCTTAGGCTGTTGCCACTTCTTGTTCCATAATTCATAAAGTCTTTACCAAAAAATTAAAAACTTCACAACACAAAACTTAACAGAAAATCTCGTGAGCTCCGTTAGCGAAAGAAAACAAAACACCAATTCAAGGTACTGTAATGAATTCATTATTTATTTATATTGCTGTTAAACCTACTGTTTTCCAACTTCTCTATGGTTTATAAACTCCATCACTAGTCATAGATTCATCAACATAAGCAAACAACACACGAAAAATAGAATCTGTCCAAACAGAACAGTCTGTAGTAATCTATAACTAACGCAAACTTATGGAACCCCAAAAATTCTTAAATAAATTGCTGGGCGTGAAGAATTTATCTATTACTCGCCAATAAAAAATGGCAGCAATTCTCGCGAGTGCTAAAGTTTCTATTTTTTACAGCAAGATCAAAAAGACTTTCCCTAAGTCTTCCCAACGGTTCTACTTGGCACAAACACTAGTTAAACACAAAAACACAACCAAAACAGAGGCTAGATAAATTATTTATTACTAAACAGGAACAAAAAGCAAGGAACAAAAATAAAATTGGGTTGCCTCCCAACAAGCGCTATCGTTTAACGCCCCTAGCTAGGCATAAAAGCGAGGATAAATCTAGGTATTGCCATCTTTGGTATGCAATCCATAAGTGGCTCTCATAATAGATTCATATGGTAATTTAATTTTCTTTCTAGGGAAGTGTTCCATGCCTTTACTTAACGGAAATTGGAATCTAATATTCCCTTCCTTCTATCAATAATTGCACCAATCGTTCTAAGGAAAGGTCTACCAAGAATAATAGGACATGAAGGATTGCAATCTATATCAAGAACAATGAAATCTACGGGCACACAATTCCTATTTGCGACAATAAGAACATCATTAATTCTTCCCATAGGTTTCTTAATAGTGGAATCCGCAAGGTGCAAGTTTAAAGAACAATCATCAAATTCACGGAAACCTAGCAAATCACACAAAGTTTTTGGGATCGTGGAAACACTAGCACCCAAATCACACAAAGCATAGCATTCATGATCTTTAATTTTAATTTTAATTGTAGGTTTCCACTCATCATAAAGTTTTTTAGGGATAAAAACTTCCAACTCAAGTTTTTCTTCATAAGATTGCATCAAAACATCAACGATATGTTTAGTAAAAGCTTTATTTTGACTATAAGCATGAGGAGAATTTAGCACGGATTGCAACAAGGAAATACAATCTATCAAAGAGCAATTATCATAATTAAATTCCTTGAAATCCAAGATAGTGGGTTCGTTGCTATCTAAAGTTTTAACCTCTTCAATCCCACTTTTACCAATTTTTGCATCAAGATCTAAAGACTCCGAATTTTTGGGACGCCTTCTAACTAAAGTTGACTCATCTCCAGTCCCATCATTATCAAGATTCATATTGCAAAACAAGGATTTAATAGGGGACACATCAATTACTTTTAGATCTTCATCTTTATTCTCATAAAAACTTTCCGGTTTAGTAGCCATTTTATTAACTAGGTGGCCTGCTTATCCGAAATTTTAGCAATTAATTTTTCAAAATGAGCAATCTGAGATTTCAAACCATAAAATTCCTTAGACATGTCATCAAGCTCTTTATTCATGTACTCCATAAAGCTTTTTTGTTCCTTAAGCTCGTTTCTAAAGAAATTATTATGCTCAAATTGTAAAGTCATAAAGCTTCTGACATTGCTTTCAATCTCTTCCAACGTTTTAAGGTGAAGATCACCAAATCTAGGCAGGGCCATAAGGGCAACAAGCAACAAGAAGCAAGCGAAAAAGAGGCGAACAGAAAAGAGGGCGTAAGGAAAAGAGGGTGAATAAAACGTCAAGGGTGAAGTGGGGGAGAGGAAAACGAGAGGCAAATGACAAATAATGTAATGCGAAGGATAAGAGTTGTGATGGGTACTTGGTATGTCTTGACTTGGCGTAGATCTCCCCGGCAACGGCGCTAGAAATCCTTCTTTCTACCTCTTGAGCATGCGTTGGTTTTCCCTTGAAGAGGAAATGGTGATGTAGCAAACCAGTGTAAGTATTTCCCTTAGTTTTTGAGAACCAAGGTATCAATCCAGTAGGAGACCACGCGCGAGTCACCTCGTACCTACACAAACAAATAAGAACCTCGCAACCAACGCGATAAAGGGGTTGCCATTCCCTCCACGGCCACTTGCAAGAGTGAGATCTGATAGAGATAATAATAATAAGATAAATATTTTTGGTATTTTTATGATATAAATTGAAAGTAAAGATTGCAAAATAAAATAGATTGGAAACTTGTATGATGGAAAATAGACCCCCGGGCCATAGGTTTCACTAGTGGCTTCTCTCAAGATAGCATAAGTATTACAGTGGGTGAACAAATTACTATCGAGCAATTGATAGAATTGAGCATAGTTATGAGAATATCTAGGTATGATCATGTATATAGGCATCACGTCCGTGACAAGTAGACCGACTCCTGCCTGCATCTACTACTATTACTCCACACATCGACCGCTATCCAGCATGCATCTAAAGTATTAAGTCATAAGAACAGAGTAACGCTTTAATCAAGATGACATAATGTAGAGGGATAAACTCATGCAATATGATATAAACCCCATCTTTTTATCCTCGATGGCAACAATACAATACGTGTCGTTTCCCTTTCTGTCACTGGGATCGAGCACCACAAGATTGAACCCAAAGCTAAGCACTTCTCCCATTGCAAGAAAGATCAATCTAGTAGGCCAAACCAAGCTGAAAATTCGAAGAGACTTGCAAAGATAACCAATCATACATAAAAGAATTCAGAGAAGATTCAAATATTGTTCATAGATAATCTTGATCATAAACCCACAATTCATCGGATCTTGACAAACACACTGCAAAAGAAGATTACATCGAATAGATCTCCAAAAGAATCGAGGAGAATTTTGTATTGAGATCCAAAGAGAGAGAAGCCATCTAGCT